ATTTGATGACCATTTATTGTATTCACAAATTTCATTTTACAATTGTGATGTGATAACCATCTGACCATCTCACACATGAGAATTGTGGACAAATTTGAATTGTCTATCTTAGATATGTGTATGACTATGATTTTTTCATATTTATTTATCTTTTTTTTTATTTATTTATTTACATAGGGTTGATTTGGTAATTTTTGTTTGGATTTTGAAGGCCGGGTTAATTATACTTTTGCTTGATTTTAAGAGTTAAATTTATGGTAAATTAAAATTTCTTTACTAGTGCACTCTCTTTCTCCGTGTATTGAGATTCTTTCTCCATCCTGTTTTGGATTTGTCCTCTTCTACGTTTTTTTCATCCATGGAATTAAGTTGATTTTTGTTTTTTTTTTTTTATTATCGTTTGAGTATAATATTGTCTATATTTGCATTGCCGATTCCTTGTGATTAGATTTTTGTCTTATGTGAACACCTCGTCTTGCCTTGTGTGTATTTTGTGTTCATGTGATGTGAGTGTAAATTTGACGTGCGTGCACTATAGTACATATGTGTGTCCACTTGCTTGTGGTGTGGTTGCATATAATGATGTGTTTATGCATTAGTCAGGTCTTTGAATAAATTGGAGTTTTTTAATCTTTGGTTTCCTTGCCGGTGGTAATGGTGCATGATGTTTATGGGTGCATAGTGTAATTTTAGAGTGTGCACAATGTAATGTATAAGTAATAAGTGTGACGTTTGTGCATTATAGTGCTTATGAGTGTGCTTTCGTTTGTGGTGTATTTTACATCTAATGTTGTGTTTGTGTGCTAGTTAGATATGTGACTCAACTTGGTGTTTTGATCCTTGTTTTCCTTAGTGCTGGTGGTGGTGCATGCGTGGTGTGTATTTGACTATTTGTGCATTTTAATGTGAACGTTTGTGTAATGCAGTATTTAAGTATGAACAGTGCAATGTATAAGTATGCACAAAGTAATATAGAAGTGTGCGCATGATTTCTACGGCATTCAAGTAATGATGCACATGATATTGTGTATGAGTACACATAAGCACACCACAACACCCTCTTATGTTGTCCTCTGCTCCACGTGTCTGTCTCACAAAGTTAAAGCACAAGACATTACCAAAATAATTAGATTTTAATAATAATAATAATAATAATAATAATAATAATAATAATAATTATTATTATTATTATTATTATTATTGTAATAATTTATTATTTAATAAAAGGATTTAATAATATAGAAACTCCTATGTTGTCACTACCTTACCTATTTCAATAGAACGTTGAAATTTTGTTTAAAAAGACTTGCCCCTTAGTTGATTTTTTTTTTTAATACTATTGACTCTATTATAATGTAGCATATGTTCTATACTTTCTCTAACTATTGCAGTTCAAATAGTCAACATCCCACCATCGAGATTCGCTCATGTGACCTTCTCTCAAGGGGAGCACAGAGGTGTCATCTGAGCACAATGTGTTTGACTTTATTGATATATGAGTGATTCAAATTGCTGATTAGGCACATAGATTTAGTGTATTGACTTTTAATTATATCCATTGATCACTTATTTTCTATAACTACGATTTATCCATAGTTTTTATATGCCAGGGTGTTCTCATGTTATAAATAAATCAAATTTTGAAGTATACAGAACAATATAGCAAAATACGTGCACCAAATAATACTATAAAGTACAATTGTGAGCGATGCACTTTAAAACTTAAAGGCCGTGTTTGGTAAAAAAAATTGGTCAATTTTGACTTATTTGACCATTATTAATTGTTTGATTTAATTAAAATATCAATATAAATGTTTGATTAATTAGCTTTTTGCAACTCCAAAAAGCTATAATTCAAAAAACTACTCCAAGCAACTTTTTCAATTAGATTTTTGAGAAAAGAAATTATACCAAACAGCTTTTAGTTAACAGCTAATTTACTAAACACTTTCTACAATCAGCTAATATTATTAACTATTTATACACTCTAACTAACACAATCAGCTATCAGCTATCAGCTAATAGACATTTTACCAAACAAGGCCAAAATATTTATGAAATTGCCACAATGTCTTCCCCTTTCCTCTAACTTCAAAACTGTTGTTCCTCTAAGACCAATGACTAAGATGGTCGCGCACAAACTCAATCACATATTTAATGATTAATATATTCAAATATTACAAATAATTATAATTGAATGGTGTGTTTTATCTAAACAAAAATGTTAAGTTGTGAAATATAGTCTCGATATTTTTATTGAGTGACTTGAAGATTTAAGCCAATGACTTGACTCAACACACCCTTCACTTGTGTGGCCAGAGTTATTATTTTTTTATTTTTTATTTTTTTAGGCTCCAAGCAACATGGAGAGTTGGGAACCATAGTCTCTTTTTAGCATGTGACTTTAAGATTCGAACCATGATCTTTTTATATGTGTTGGTTTTGATATATATCAAATTAGAGAATGTCTCTGGTCTCATGTAAAAGTTTAAATTGATAGTTAATTTTAACATTTATGTTTATATATTATATGAACAATTATATTGATGATATTTGAATATTGAGGACAAAATTAGGGAAAATGGTCAAATAGGCTCTCGAACTTTAGCTAAAAAGTCAATTAGCCCACTAAACTTTTTAAAGTTGCAATTACACCCATCAACAATTCATTTTGATGCAATGAAGCTAAAAAATCAGTTAATGACCTGCTATCACATGTCATTAGGGATTCGGCCACCATTCGGTCAAATTTCAAACAAAAAAGTGATCGGCGACCGACCGGAAGGTCGTTGAATCCTTAATGACATGTAATTAACCAGTTTTTAGACTTCATTGCATCAAAATGAATTGTTGATAGGTGTAATTGCACCTTTAAACAGTTTTGTGGGCTAATTAACTTTCAGCTAAATTTCGAGGGCCTATTTGACCATTTTCCCACTAAATTATCATACATAATACAACTACTAGCCGTAAATATGGAATTGTTTCACATGAAATAGATTCCTTAACCTCATGTCAAGTGAGTCTCATACTTTATAGCTTGTTCCTTGGTTTCATGTAGAAGGGTTTCAAACTTAACCGATAAGTAAAAAGTTGAGATTAACAGTAATAATACACAAATAATAGCTAATTCAAATTATTAGGTGATTCAACGTAACTCGTTATTTACCTATGAGCAAAGGCTCAAGTTAAATGAATTCATTTTTACCTTATCTACTACTACTTTAAGTATTTATAAATATGTATCACTGCACTAATTTAAAATAGACTTATGGAAATAGATTATAATTTTTTTAAAAAAAAATACTTTAGAGCGAGTCATTTTTAATTTATTGAGAATTGTTTATCTTTTAAAATGGTATTTATTTGTATATATATTAAAAATAATCATAGTTAAACTACATGGCATTAATTGTAGCCATTTTTGTCATGCCAAATCCCAAAAAAATAATTCGTGAGTAATAAGGTGAATCATTTAAGCTAAATTATAATATTAGGAAATGTTATTTGAAACAAATTTTTATGTCATGATTTTTATATTTGTTAATTATTTGCGAATTGACTACTATAATTTCAACCTCAATTAATAAGATGAATCAACATCATATTTAATCTAAATTTATTTTTGACTTTAATACATAAGTAAATAAGGTGAATCATTTAACCTAAATTATAATATTATAAAATGTTATTTGAACCAAAAATTTTTATTACAATCTTTATGTTCATTAATTATTTATGAATTGACTAATTTAACTTCAGCATCAATTAATAAGATGAATCGATATCATATTTAATATTAAATTTATTTTTGACTCTATACATTTTATTTTTAATTTTATTCATTTTTGTAAAGGAAAAATGACATATTTGGTCATTGAATCATATCTTGTGTATAGACCCAAAATCATTCAATTGTTGACAAGTCTATTTTTTCTCTCATTTTTTTCGAAGTGATGGTTAATATTTGATCGATCGGATTTAGAAAAAAAATCATAAATAGTAATATGATTCCCTCTAATTCCCTTTTAAGATAAAAGTTATGAGAACAAAAAAGAAAAAAAATCACCAATTTTTTTTTTTTTTGCTATATGATGTTGTAATAAAAAATTTCTTTATTCATTTGTTATCATGAATTGTCCAACATAATATTGTGTTAAAAACTAAATTTACTTACTAATCAAATACGAATAAATATTAAAATTTTATATTGTGAAGAATTTTGATAAAAAAACTTGTGACCTCAGAAGTTTGGACATTTTTTTTTATATATATATGAAATAGACATTTTTAGTGTTATAGTATGTTTAAAATAGTTTAATAATGTATAAAATATGAAAATTGATAGAATATGGGGAGTAAAATTGGTATATTGAGGGAATAAGAAATAGGGAATTTGCTAAATTGGAAAAATAGATACTCCATAGTTGCTCATATAAGAAACTCAGTTAGTACTTACGTTTTACTGCAAAGTTATATCTAATGTAATACGGAGTAGATTTTTAGTTAAAGGTTATAATGTTATCGTCATTTATCTCTCTACGATTTTGTCAGATCAAGACGTAAAATTTTTAAATTGATAATTTATTTTTGTTAGACCACGAAGTATTCTGAATAGACACTAACTTTAAGAGGCACTTTCTCGTACTATACTCAAACTAATTCTCATTTGTATTGAACCGTTGTATAAATCATAGTTTTGTGAGTTAAGGAAAATATATTATTCCAAAGGCTGAACCCCAACCATAAGGGCCCCACACCCCGACCCGACAAAACATTTGGGAGGATGTAAATCATGGTAACTCAACTGAACATGAGTCACAGAGACTGGACCGTGCTCACTGCACACAAAGAACCCCCTCACTTTGAGAGATTGTTCCCACACTGTCACTGGTGAGACTCGATCCTCTTCGTAGTTAAAGAAAATATATTGATTGAGTGGGTAGTAAAATTAGGGGGTGAAAGGTGAGAGTCACGTCCAGAGATGTAATTACGGAAGCGTGTGAGTGATAAACACTTTAAATTGCGATTGAGAGAGAGAGAGAGAGAGGAGAGAGAAAGAAAACCCCAGAGAGAGAAAGATCAGAGAGGAGTGTGCTGCTGCTTATCCTGCTGTTTCTTCTGTTGCTTTTAGGCCATGGCGGCGTGGCAGAGCTCTAATTCTACACTACTAACTTCTACTGTCTCTTAAATGCTCCCCATCACCCCCAAAATCTCTCTCTCTCTAAAAAGTCTTCTCATCTCACTTTGTTCTGTCCAAGAAAAAAGCTGCAATTTTCATTTCTTCTGCAGATTCAATCACTCCCCCCAGGCCCCAGGCCACATAGATAGATAGATAGAAACAAATTTTGCTTTTTTTTTTTTTTTTTTGGGTTTAATGATTGTGTTGTGTTTTTGTGACTGTAACCCCGAATTTACGACAAGATCGATCAAGAAAACCCTTTAGAGTTTAGAGCAGCTTGAGGTGTCAGCGTATTAAAATGGCGGGTTTCTTTTCCCTGGGCGGCGGAGGAGGAAGAGGAGGCGCCACCACTAACACCCAGGACCACCACCGGGAAAGCAGCAGCCAGCCCAACGAAATCAACCCGGAAAGTTGGTTTCTTTACCGGAATGACCAGGAAATGGCGCCGGCGGGGTACAAAGGATTCGAGCTGTGGCAAGATCAACCCGCGGCGGCGCACCAAATTCGCCACCACCAAATCAACCCATTGCAAGATCTTTACTCCTCCGCCGTGGGTCTGGGCGTGGGGCCGAGCCGCACCGCCGCCGCCGCCGGGATCGACGAGCATTCCCGGTCCGCCGCGTTCGTCACCATGATGCGCAGCGGCGTCGGGTCCACCGGCGGCGGGATTAGCTGCCAGGACTGCGGCAACCAAGCCAAGAAAGACTGCTCCCACATGCGGTGTAGGACTTGCTGTAAGAGCCGCGGGTTTCAGTGCCAAACGCACGTCAAGAGCACCTGGGTTCCGGCGGCGAAACGCCGTGAAAGGCAGTCTCAGCTCGCCGCTTTACAACAACACCAAGAAAACGCTAATAATAATCAGCAAAGCCTTCAGCTTCGTAGTAGCAGCAGCAGAGAATTAACCCCCAAAAGACACAGAGAAGATCCATCCGCTAATAATTCCTCTCTTGCTCGTTTGCCCACCACCGGAACCCCACCGGCCGGTAATTTCTTCACTAATCATAAATTCTGCAAATTTTTTTAACCCCCCAATCTTAAATCCAAGATTATTACGTACGTGATCAGATTTGATTATTTGAACTTAACCCTTTACACTCAATAATAAATAGTAAAACCCATCAAGCTTTACTTTTTATGGTTTCCTTTCACCGTCTTCTTCGTCGTCTCTCTCTCTCTATCTTATCAGTCAAATTAAGGAAAGCGGTGATTTTTATTGTCTGGGCAATGTTGAAATCTGAAATGGGGTGTGGGTTTTAGTATTTTTACATTTTCTTCTTTGTTTTTGATGTTTAGGGTTAGAAGTGGGGAATTTTCCGGCGAAAGTGAGCCTCACGGCGGCGTTCCAGTGCGTGCGGATGAGGTCGGTGGACGACGGGGACGATCAGTACGCGTACCAAGCGGCGGTGAATATCGGCGGCCACGTGTTCAAGGGAATTCTGTACGACGAAGGGCCGGAGAGCCAGTACTTGACGGCGGGGGAGAGCTCGTCTGGCGGCGGCAGCGCCGCCGCCGAACACAATTTACTCCCTAGCACCGCCGCAACGTCGACTGCGGCCGCGGCGCCGGCGAGTGATCATCAAGGATCCGGTTATGTGGACCCCTCCTCTATATATCCTGCTCCGCTCAGCACATTCATGGCTGGTACGTTCTTCCCACCTCCTGCAAGATCTTAGATCAGAGCTCCGATCCCCCAACATCATTATTCAGAAAAACAAAAACATTAAAAAAAAAAAAGAAATTATATTTAGGATTCGACAAAAAAGGAGAAAAACGCGGGTACTATGTCTGGTTTATTTTCCACTTCAAATTTCTATGACAAGTTGAATTTTTGTTTCATATAAATATATATAATATAATTACTCTTTTGAATTCAAATCATTATATTTTTATTCCCCGAACCGTTTAAATCTGTTAAATTCTTGCCCTGTTTACTCAAGATTCATGTAGTTTAATTTCGCCGTCGTATCTTATCTGTTATGCTTCTAATTTCTATTATATTATATTCCATTAAAAAAAAAAAAAGAGATTATATATTTATCATGCACAAATGTTGTTGAATGAATTTGTGTGTTTGTTTTGGTGCAATTTAATTAAGGTGGTTGCTTCTTTCATACGATTGAGTGTTCATAGTCTTCTTGAGTTGAATTTCATTAGCACATTTTCTGGCTGGTTTTTGGACTCTTCAAAAAATGTGTTTTTTGTTTTTTTAATTTTCAAATATTTGTTTTGTTATTACGCGTATTCTTTTCTTGTTTGTTTGAATTTTGGGGGAACTCCCAAGCTGTTGCTTAGCCCGTTGGACAATATATATTTCTCCTCATCTATCACAAAACATCTTTTCTTCCCACATTCCATGCAATATAATTGCCATCACCTTTCAAAACCATTTCTCTCTCTTTGTCATATATATATATATATATATATATATATATATATATATATATATATATATATATAACGAATCGTCAATAATTTTCCTATTCTCGATATGATGTTTGATATAAGTTTAAAAATTTATGTAACGGGCATTTTTGTCCATACTCAGTATAAAAGTGTTAACATGAAAGATGACTCATCTTCTGATCTTTTTCTAACTATTATTTACTAACTAAACAATTCCGTTTTTCATTATCATAATGAAAAATGAAAGGTATGTTGTAATGAGTTAACTATATGTGTATATATAGCAAAAAAAAAAAAGAGGCTTCATAGTGGCTCGAGTTGCATGGGGGAAAGATGGATGTGTGCAAAACAATATTATTCACAAGTATGATGCATGTGGAGGGGAGGAGGGGTGGGGGGGGGGTGTATGTGTATATATATACATATATATACAAATGATCGTTTTCATTGGTTGACGTATGATTAAATGCAGGTAGTGACAGGTATGATTAGCAAAAATTGATGTGCAAAAGAACATTATTACATGCTTCCACACACATCATGATTCATCTGTTTTGTAGTGTGGTGTGTGGCAATTTTAGTAACTGTGGAGAATGGAATTCTGAGAAATCTGAGAATGAAGTTTAGATTCCTTTGCCATTCTTTAGTTTCAGACAAATATACATGCATGTTACTTTCTGATTTTTTTTTTTTTTTGTCTTTTTTTTTTCTGCATTATATATTATATATATTCATCAAATTCAATTCTGCATGCAACGTAACTCATCAGAACAATTTTACTTCTCCGATCCTTTCTTTGTCCTAGCTACCTACCAACCTACTAATTCCAATGAGAACTCGATTATATTCCTGTGAGAACTTACGAACTTGTACATAAATGCACACAAACGTCTCTATAAACATACACAGTTTCAGATTCCAATGCACAATGCACACAATTAGTTTGTGTATATTTTTGTAGATGATTTTGTGCATTCATTTTAGTTCATAGATTTTCACGGAATGAAGGTTCTCATTTGATCATTAATCTATATATATAAGACTTGAATTCATAATCATGTAATTAAATACATGTTCTTATGTATAAATATACTTGTAAATCATACACATGCTTTGAAAAGTCGGGGGTGAAACTTTTGAAGTTATAGATTGATATCACATGATCATATGTGTGTGTATATTTGATGGAATTACCTTTCCATAAATAAATAAACATGAATAATTTATTTCAGATCACACTTGTTTTTTAAAGTTGGCTACGATTTTCTTGTTTTTTTGTTTTTTTTTTTTTTTTTTAAGCTTATAAAGTTGAAACTTGTATTACTTATGTTTTTTTGAATATATATATATATATATATATATATATATATATATATATATATATATATATATAGTAATAATCAAATGAGACCACCTATTCCTGTGAGTACCGTGTCACCCTTCTAAAATGCACAAAAGTTTTTACATGAATGCCCAGAGATTTGATTATGTGTAACTCGCCAAACATGAATGCATACAAGCTACTAGGCCATGTGTGAGGATTACCTCACTGGTTCAGTAGGCAGTATTTGTAAGAAGAGACCAAGGTTTAAACCTCTGCAGTGTGGAGATTTTTTTCAAAGTGGGCAGATCTTTTGTGCACACCAATATTTGGCCATGTCAATTGAGCCACTGTGACCGACATTTATAAAGGGTCTCATAGAACAATTGTACTGCCTTAATTGTTTTAATTATTGCTTGTGCCTGCCTTAATTGTTATGATTGTGATGTTGAGTATTTGAGTTACTTGTGTGTGTTATGATTGTGATGTTGAAGTGGAAATATATGATATTAGTGTAGTATAATCGAACACTATCAACATGCATCTGCATAAAAAATGAAGTTTTGTATTATTACCTGAATACATACATATTTTCCGGCATTATAGTACGAGTAGTGCCCACTTTTACAATCTTATGTTAATATTCTATCTACCTCATTTAAATGTTTTGCTTACTATTTGTTGTTCAAACTAACTTCTTTTTTTTTAGTGTTTAATTTTTTTTTTTTTTTGTGTTTAATACTCAGTAGTATTTTTTTAATGTAATTTTAAAATATTTAAATTTTATAAATTAATATTAAATTTAGTATTATAAAAAATTAAATTAAAAATAAATCTAATCAAGTCTCATTATCCTAACCCGACATATAAATTACAATAGAAAGAGTATTTAATTAATCACTCCCAAACACATACTTCAATCTATCCGTATATATCCAAAATAGGGAAAATCTTTGAATATAGGTTATAATAAAAGAAGAAAAGGAAGAGGAATTATAATAATGAAAAACCTTTAAAAACTGACAGAAATGTAGGAGTGATCTTATCAGACCATACATGAAATGACTGGTTGATGTTACATCCAATCCATTTAGGGGAGAATACTATGCTAATTTTCCTTTTGCTCTGTGCCATATACTGTTCAACAAATAGTGACCCTATTTTATAGGACACACAAAATATTAGAGTAATAATTACAACAATTTTTTTTTTCACTTTATAATAGGTTGGAGGTTCCCTAACCCAAAGTTCAGTCACACTAACATACATGTAATTTTAAATTAAAAATGTTAAAATTTGAATTTTCAATATATCCATGTATTTTTAAATTAAAACGTAAGTTATCACTTTAATTTTCAATTTATTTAAATAAATCAAGAAATAATTGATGAAACTCCTCAACCTTAAAAGTTAGGTATATGATTCATGTAGATTATTATGATTGTATGTGATTAAACTAAGTACAACTTAATAATTACATAACTAATATATGAAGTTTATATACTCATTAATAGTAAATACATTATCAATCTCTTAAATGACTTATAACTTATTAGTAGTTTAAAATAAACTATAAGTTTGGCCAAACAGAGTTATATAAACCGAGTATAAAACTAACTAGCTAATAAATTAATGTTATTTTACATTCCCCATGATTTTATCTCCTAATGTTAAAATCCCAAACTATTTATTACACAATTTCTCTAGTATGCATAATAAAATTGAAGAAAAAGATTAGTTATACAATCAAGGGGAGTACTTCGATCAACTGATCATTGTGAAATTGACACTTTAAAACAAGAAAGCAATCATAAGGATGAGATCAAACAAATAAGTTAAAGTTTTTGTTAAGTAAAGTTGGTTACACATCTGATCTTCTGATCTAGGTTTTGCTATACCACTTTCTCTTTTTTTATTTTTTTTTCTTTTTAATTTTGGGAGGCAATTTTACTTTATATAACATTGGGTTAAGTGTATATGTACACACTTTTAAGATGAAACCTTTTTGTTGCTTTGTTGTCTTGTCTTCAAACTTTCTTATACGACGTTTGTATCTAATTTGTCTTTAATATGATTTTATTATTAAATGTTTCATACTTCACGCTATGTTTTTTGTTGTTTACTTTATAAAGGTTGCATTTATATAAATAAATAAATAAATAATACCTTATCTGTCTCATTTTACAACTAAATAAATTCTTTTTTTTTTACTTTAACACTTAATTATTTAAAATAACTTCATTATAACATTATTAATTGAATCAGATACATAAAAAGTTAATTAGATACATAAAAAGGGAAAAGGGATATGATGTATGTCTCTCAAGTCTCAACAGACGTCAGTCTGGGTTTTGTTTGGTGGCAAAACACACACATATATGTCATATGTGCAGCCGAAAGTTAGATGAGCCAAGACAAAAAATAAAAATAAAAAAATAAAAATAAAAATAATAAGAATTCTTTGGCATTTCCAATGCAGTAGCTGACAGTATTCCAAGTTTATTTACTTTATACCTCATAAAATTAAATAAAAAGGAAAATGGTTATTAAATAAATAAAATGATCCAATCCATGATGGGAGAATCTCATATTTTCATGCCCAAAAATTGTCTCCACTTTCCCTACATCCAAGATTTCCTCGAGCTACCAAAAACTACCCAATCTTCCATCTTCAATTCTCTAAAAAAAGCTTTAATTAATTTCATGGTTTACCAGGAATGGAATGGAATGATGATTTCAGCATCTCAATAACCATCAGGTTTCATGTTTCAGTTTAATATAATAATTTACTGTGTGCTTTCTTTAATTTCTGCCTTTAATTTCTTGGAAAGAATGTTAGTTGTATGTTTATGTGCAGTTATTCATTTTTTTTTTTTTAGAACAATACATTGTAGTAGGTTGTGTTTTGCTTGCCCTAGTTTGCTCTCCCTAGGCCTAGGGTTTAATTTATTAAACCCTTATTTAACCATTAATGTTAGAGACTACGACACGTTTACTTTTTGAAAAGCGTTATAAATCCTAAATTCATAAATTTATGTAGCAAAGTGTGAAGGGGACATAACTGTACGAAATAAGAGCGAGTAACACTATATATATACTTTCATTTTTATTGCCTATTTACTTGTCATGCTTGATTGATTAAAAAAAAAATCTTAATTATTAGCATAATCCTTCAACTTATAGCTGGTGTCTCAGACCAGGAAATTATTGTCTGTACCATTAAAAAGTACATTATTTGTATACTAAGTGTACATTATACAAAAATAATGTACTTTCAGTACTCAAATAATATACTTTTCATGAATATAAGGTACATTTTTAATATACTAAAAATACATTACTTGATAGTATACAAAATAATACACTTTCAGCACTCAAATATTGTACTTATTATTTATAATCCACATAGCTGTGTAGATCATGGTTCACACAATAATGATTGTCTCAAAATTGGTTAGACTATTGACATAGTAATCATAAGTTTACAAGTTTAACTCCTGGCCGGTCAACTATGGACAACATAAGTTGGTTTACTCCTTGTGATCTCTTGTCGGTTAGGGTCACAATATAGGATTTACTCCATGCACATTATTGGATAGTGGCCCTAAAAAAAAAAAGTTGATGTTGATTGATTTTTTTTATTAATGTTTTTCCTTTTACTTTATTTATTTCTTTCGGAATTGAACTATTATACAATCTTAATTTGTGACGTTTAAATTTGTTGACAATTTTTGCTTCATCCAAGGTCAAGTATGAGACTTGACTTAAAGAAAAGTAAAGTAGTGTTTCAATTCCTCTTAAACCACAATCTTTTTAATGTGGTCAGTGTCTAATCCCTTGTACTTGGTCTACTTTAATTTGGTTGATATTGTGGTGTTTGATCTACTTGTAAAGATTGGACTACCTCCTTTCAAAATAAATTCTTTTGTAATGTAAATTAAATCCAATTAAGTTCAAAATTTTGCCAATCACCTTGTGATCTAGTGGCACAAAGTGACTATCTCAAATGAAAGGTAATGGATCGATCTCCAATACTACATTGTAATAGAGTCAGTAGTAAAAAAAAAGTTCATAATTTTATTTAATATTGTGTTAAACTATATATACATTTCTCAAAAAAGAAATCCTTTTTCTTTGACTGTTATTGTCGTTAGCTTGCCCTTGTCTCCAAGAGAATCAAATTATTAAAGTGCCTCCGTACACCAAAATGATTGTTTTTGCTTTAATTACCCACTAAGAATTTTGTGAATGGTCGAGCTAAATAATGAAAGCCTAATTACTAGATTCTACTCTCTTAAGTACTATTCATTAGTATTCAATTAACAACCAATCAATCAATCAATCAACAAATTAAAGTTAATTAATCCCACACAAACCATACAAAACTTGGGCGCACTTACCAGTCGTTGACCTAAACACCCCCCTGCCTAGCACTTCTGAATCTGCGAGTCGACTGAACTCACTTTTAGCGACGAAATGTTCACTTATTGCGACGATTTTTCTTTTCTTTTTCCTTTTCTAGAATGCATGCAATGAAATCATCTCTCTTTCTCTCTCTCTCATGTATACACACTCGCAGAGGAGCGATATAAACTGTGGGTATATATACAACAAGAATTCTTTTAGCTCAAGATTAGGGTTTGTAGAATAATTTGTTTTTTATAAGGAGGGAGGCTATGGGTATGTAGGGGTAGATCGAGGGAGTAGGGTTAGGGTTATGATTGAAGATGAAACAAAGCTAATTAATAGGAATCTGCTCTGCTGTATACTTTGATGCAATCCAGACATGTCTGTATATATATGTAAATTTAAATCTGCAGAAATATGTTATTAACTAGTCATATATATAATCAAAAAAATAATAATTTTTGGCTTATATAAATCAAGATTTAATGTCATATATATAGTTACAGGCAGGAACAAAAAAAGGCAGTAGAATTGAAGAATACAGAGATAGATCCAGCATTGTAAGCTAGAGAGATAGCTAGATTTCTAAATGGATATTTCTAATTTGAAACAAATTTGGAAGAGAGAGAGAGAGAGGGGTTGTCTTGTTGTTGGAGTTTGGGCGAGCATGGCATAGGTCACTAAGGTGGGGTTGTTTTGTTGTTTTGTTTGGTGTGTGTGTTCTTTCATAATCATATATATATAATCTATATAGCTTCGCAATGCTAACAATTTCAATTCTATGCATTTTCTGCTTTTTGGGATTCCTTGTACGATTTCAAACCATGGCATTATAATCTATCAAAAATCTTGTCCATCTATCTGTCAAACCTACAAAAGAACAAAAAACAAGAAATAAAAAACAAAAAAAGCTAAGCAAAATGACGACTGGTCTGGGATATATATCACATATTGAGAGGAGCTGATCGGAGTGTAAAATTAAGATTAGCAGACTGCAGACTGGAGGTTAGCTTGGGGACCATCCGCCCAGGCCACCTCAGGTTAGCTTCAGCCAATTTCAATGGATTATCATTACTCAATGGCTCCACACGCCAGCCCGACACAGTAACTCAATGACTCAGCAGACAAATTTAAATACTGATGCGCTGTGCATAATCCCCACACTACCGGGATCGAATTTCAAATCTTAGTCTCTTACTCAAAATACTGTCTGTCTATCTATTGAATCAGTGAATTAAACCTGTACAGGATACAATTCCTATACCTCTTAAAATAATAAGGTGCTTAAACCTACTGAGCCACCTTAACCTAACTTTAATATATAATAATATATTATCTAATTCTATTAAAACATTTACTAATATATACATATATATATATATATATATATATATGATAGGGTGGGGAGGGGGGCAACTGCCCCACTGCCCGTAGTCAAAGTGGATTTAAATTTTTCTAGTTAAGATTATGAATTTGATATATTATACATTCAAAGATATTGGAAGAATGAAAAATTGATTAGTCTTAAGTTGAATTTGTTCAATTTTGTTGGGCGGAGGTCAGTAAAGGTCAAGTCTAGCAGTTGGTGGCTAGGGGAATTGTTAGGCGGAGGTCCATGAAGGGTCAAGTCGAACACCCTGCCGGTATATAAAGAAATAAAATTACACCTTCGTCGTGAGCTATAACTTTTGACATAGTGATCTGATAACTACTTGATGTTAAAAAGTTTAATATATATATATATATATATATATATATATATATATATAAAACTTATCAAGCTAGTTGGACTGTAGTATATTCTTATCACAAATCCCCATACTTAATTCCTGTGATATGAAAATGGTTAGCACAAGGACATAGGGTAATGACATTATATTTGCTGTGATATATTCGCAGCATAACTGCAGTCATTTACTCATACAAAAATGTTATATGATCAGTTAAGGAACGGTAATGACATCATATTTGCTGACGTGGACTTCTTTCTTGCCTCTTGACTGTTCAAATGGCGTTGAGCAACACATGGCAAAACTCATGCGTTGTAATTCTTGATGTTATAAATAGTCTCCATGAAGTTAGCTAGTTCATACAAGTTATTTTGCGGTGCTAAAGGCTTTGTGGTCAACTGGTATAGTTGTGACCCCTTACCTAAGAGGTCTCAGGTTTGAATTCTCAAAGAAAGTATATGTATGAACCAATATATACTACATTATAATAATTTTCTTGAGCACAAATTTTAAACTATTCACAATAATTTTTAATATCATCAACCGTCTCCATGAAGCTAGCTAGTACCTCTTTTAAATTACTTTGTGGTTGCTCATTAATAGTCATTGATGAAGTATCCATTAGATAATCTCAAGAGGAATCATGATAGTAGGAGTATTGAGGGTAGACTGGTGAGTGAAAATAGTTGGTATATGTATGTGTGTGTGTGTATTGTAGTGGATTTTGGTGTAGAGGATCGTCTTAGCTTCTTATTCACTTAAATCACCTTAATTGGACTTCGTATGAAAGAGATACGGCCAAAATATTACCAGCATGTTGCAAGACTTTGTCTCTGAGTATGTCAAAATTTGTCCATTGTTTTTACCTTGTTTTATTCTTAATCTCATAAAACTATGAACATGAAAGTCGTAGATGATTGTCTTAGGTTTCCATAGACACTTGAACCATCTTAATTGAGTTTCATATGAGAAATATATAACCAAGATACTCTCAGAATGTCACAAATTACATATTTTATCATGTTTGCTTAGAAATCCTAAAAATCAAATATTAATAAATTAAGCATCATGCATCATCAAACTAAATAAAATAGAAGAAAAATCATCATATATATATATGGTATTTGAATTAATTTAACTTTAATTAAGCACTTATCAATCGTCAAAAAGAATAGAGTAAAAGGTCGGAAGAAGTGACCTTGAAGATGAGAAGATCATAACGCATGAAGCTAGCTTAGAACTTTTTTTTAGTTTGGAGTACCAATGTCATAGGGCTATAAGGCTATTCATCCCTTATTTGTAAAGCTATAAGCCCAATTTATTCCCAATTCTATTTGTAATTCTTATAAACAAACAAAAGCAAAATTTAAAAGGTTCCAAAATGTCACATTGTCACATCGGCAAATCAACTTTACTATGACGCAGTGTTTTGCAACAAATTCAGATTATTCGCCCTTTGCATTAGCAGTTTCATTGGGAGACAAACATCACAAAATATTCTCACTTTAAAGCACGTTTATTCTCCCCAGGGCCCTTTTTTGGTAACAATATTTTGCTTTTCCTTTTTTCTAGCCAATATTGGGTAGTCCTTGGAAGGAGAAGAATGTGTGCTTTTTTCTTTTTTTTTTTTTTTTTTGCCTCACAAGTTATTATCATTCATGCATTCCATGTTGAATTGCCCAAAATTCAATGCATACATAATATATACCGTTAATGTTAAGGGTACAATACACAATACCTACATGGTTCACTCAAAATCCATTAATCCTGTCTAGTTTGCAAATTTTTGCCCTGTCAACCAAGTATGTTTTCACCTCGTTTTCTGTCCACTATATCTCACCTCATCTCATCATTCAGTAATCTCCACAGCATTTCTGCGGCTCGAGGGAAAAACATTTGCCTCTTGTAATGGTAAGCACAAACTTGTTCTTGTTAGAATTGACCAGATGAAGCTCGAGGTTTTCCCTTGATTGAGTTTAGATGTTGGGAGACAAATAGCACTCCCATTACAACAATAAGGCAACCAACCAATGTGCTGAAGAAGAGTGCACCGGGTTGTCTGGTCTGAACAAAGCCATAAACACCATTGGAAGTCAAAATGATGAGGTCGGTTAGCCCATCATTGGAAAAATCTTCAGTCACCAATGCATGCGTGGGAGGAGCAGGAAGTTCAATTGTTGCTAATATACTTCCTGCAGGAGATATGATTATGGCTTCTTGATCTCCTGCTGCAAGGATCAATTCTTGATTATCATGGACACGTAATGAAAATGCCTTCAGGGTAGGTACCACCATACCACCTTCCATCATTCCCGATGGAGATGGAAGGTTTGACCATGTTGCACCAGTCAATAGCTGCCAGTTCCAGATAGCATCGTGTCCATGCAAGCCAGGTGAATAAGATGTTACCTGCAAGCAAGGTGAATAACATGTCACATCCAAGCATTACTAATTAAAGGGCGAGAGGTTGATTGGCAGAGACTATACCTCGCCACGATTTGTTAAAAAGATCACATCTCCATGGCTTCCCTTGCGATGATGATGACCATCATTTCTTGGGATGAGAATGGGTGACGCAACCTCTAAGGAATTTGCATCAAAAGGTTGACCAAAGCCTCTAGTAAATTCCCCGTGCTGGAATAAGTTAAAAGGAGAGTGACGACATATAGTAGCATTAAAAAGTTGTTCTCGCACCGGTACACCAGATGTTGCAACAGCCCAACAGGGACGCAAGACTTCCATGGATCCACTGACAACTGTCTGTTCAATCCCATTCCCTCCTACAGCCTGGAAAAATTCAACATTTTAACGTTGCATGAACTCGATTTCAAGTCAGTTGCCAATATTTCATGCCAACCTCAGTGCATAAAAAGTCTGTTAATAGAAACTCTTCCTTCTGTATCAAGTATGAGGCAGGAAGTAAACTTAGAATAAGAGGCAGCCCCATCTCCTCTCAAGGATTATTTTCCTGGGATTTGAGGGGTTGGGGTACATCTTACTTCAGTTGATATTAGGATAGGGAAACTGAAATTTAAATGGCATATACAGATTAATGAAATTAAGCTAGAATTCAAATTTAAAAAGAAAAAAAAAAAATTGACTGTATTTTAGTTCACCTGGACATGATCCAAAACTCCATCTCCATTAATATCAGCATGTAGTCCACCTTCTTGAAGATGAAGCTGGTGGATTAGGTATTCACATCAGAAGAACTAAAATTGTCAGAACTTGGGGAATTTATATATGGCATGTCTCAGTAGTAAGAATATATAGATAAGTGACATGAAAATGAAGCTGATATGGCATCTGAAGTTAAATTGTGGAGAAGGCATAGAAAGACATATATCATATTACATTATATGAAAAACAAGAAATTGACAACTGTTTTTTAATATGGCATGCCAATATGTGTGCTATACACTTGAAAAAGGAAACTACAGTTAAGCATATTTGATGCTAAATAAAATGATTTATACAGCCCACCACAAGCATTGGTAAATACAGGGTTAATCATGCACTTTAAGGAGATCTCAAATATGCTAACTTGCTAAGGTATATTATATGATGAGCAATTAAACCAAATATATTTCCCATAGTTTTTTAAGCATACCTTACAAATGGTGCGACCAGATGCCAGATGAACAGCTTCAATCCCTTCCTTTTCGTGAGCAACAACAACATTAGGAACCCACCATAGTTGAGTATAATTTGTGATCGTGGGAATATAAGGCAAAGGCTACAAAAGAAATAAATATGATTATAGACATTAGCAAAGACCAACATGCATCAAAATAAGTTAACAATATTCCATTGTCAATGAGAAGATTGCAAGAGCAAACATCAATAGGGGTTGCAAAAACATTTAGCATCATAAATAATTCCAATCTTCCACATCAAAGTGAAGTATAATTATGATGGAGGGATGACAATTAAAAACCAATCGGCAGGCACCCACTCTCACCCAATATGCACAAGGTTTTTTCAAGGGTGGTGGGTGAGGATTGGGTGTGGATGTGAAAATCCCACTGAAATCCATTGCCAGCAGAGGGTGGGTGGGTTTTAAAGGCAGCACCCCATGTCCAGCCAAACCAACCACAGCATATTTGTTAATATTTCTATGTACATTCAAGAGTCAGGTTATATATTTTCTGCTTCCAGAACAAAGATTCAAGAAAAAAAGATGCACCACTAAAAGAATAAAAATAAATAAAAAAGGCTCACCTTCTTGATTTTTGAAGACTTCGCATATTTCACAGCATTCCCAATCGCATTTGAAATCCTTTTAGTAGTGTCCTTACCAGGAAGCTGGTTTTCTTCAGGCTTGTGGAGAGGGTAACTGGTGGAAGTCTTGCCAGGCATTTTCTTCAACGTTTTTCTTTTATGTCGTTTGAAGTGTGATAACTTTAATAAAGTGTCTTCTCGACGATCCTGGGTAAAAAAAATTGCACTCATGGATTAGAAGTTAGAACAAAATAAAAACGCCAAACATAAAAAAGAAAGAAATTAAGTGTCATACCCAGCGATGTGGCATTACTCCAAGAACGGATTCTCTGAATTCCCTACATTCAAACTGTGGTTCAAGAACCATTAAGTGACCTTCTGAGCAAAACTGCTAAATAATGACCTATTTACTTTTGAAAACTTGGGAAAATATTGTAATCTTACTCCATTCAAAAGACTACCAACTCAAGGCAATCAATGCAGTGAAATTGCTTACAAAGCAGGCAGTCAGGCAGATATAAAAACTGTTAAAATATTAGAAACCCCAGTATAACCCTAACTGCAATCTAGTCCAGTATGTAGGCCTATTATAATCCTATATAAGGATGTACATCGTTCACATAATATAGGAATTAGAAAATGCCCTAAACCATGCTTGAACATAATCCCAATAAGAGAATTTGTTAACACAGATTGTTTCATCAGGTAGAGTCAACTCTTTCATATCTTATCAATACAATTATTATTTTTGCTTCCTTTGATTACACACATATTTTGCTTCTAAGTAGCAGGTGGTAGCTATTTTCTATTGCTACGACTTTTTAACCATAAATTTCAACATGGTATCAGAGCACACGTCCTAGGCTTCTATTTTTTTTTTTTAATCAAAACAGTAACTTTTGCAACATGATTAGTGCTTGGTGTGGCTGATTTTCTGGTTTCAAAATTCAACACTTCTTTGGTGGTTGTTTGTTCAAACTAAAACCACCCTCAAACTTGGAACCTTGCGACAACCCAATGCCAAGAGTGCAACAACCGAAGCACCAACCATGTGCCTTCACACACTGCTACGCCAAGAGATTGCATCTTTTGATTCACTCAAATCTCCTTTTTTGGCGGGCATCTATCCACACCACCCACACTGCCATACTAAAAGATTCCTCTGGCAACCTTATTCGAAAATTTTGGTTGTCACCCACATAGATGCATTGGCGAGCCTTTCTAACAGACCAGCACATGACACCGCCTCCAATTGCCTTTTCCAATGAAATTTTCTAGAAACCTTTTTTGCCATTGTTCAATACTATGGGTGAAATTTGAAGGCTTCTCAATTGAAATTTGTCTTAGAGTGCTTCTGTTGCCATGTTGTATGAGGTTATTAGTGTCGGTTCCATCTCTTGGTGCTTTCATCTTCATTCCTGAGGGACATGCATAATGCTTTCCAAAGCCATTCACATTTGATACAATTATCCTCTAGCCATATCTAACATTCTTTTGTATGCCCGAGTAAGGTGGAATGTTTCTTAATTCAAGCCTGGAGCTTATAGATATTCCACTTGAGAGGGAGTGTTGAAATATAGAATGTAAATACCCTAGTGTAGCCCTAGTTGTAACCTAACCCACTATATTCCTATATAAGTATGTGTATCCTCCTTAGAATGTAGGAATTATGTAAATGAAGAATTAAAAAAGGTTCATGCAAGCATGCTGATATATCAACTTCAAGTAAGTAAGCATAAGATATCAAGTTTAGCAAATGTTCTTTATGCCCTAAGAGGTTAATCAACTCCAACTCATAGGAAGATATTAACTGCCACTGCATTTTTTACTTCACCTAGAATTAGTAGGTAATTAAACTAATTAATGATGTCATTACTGTCATCAACTTAGTCACGTTCACTTTTGCCCCTTTCACTTTGAAGATTTAATGTTGGGTCTTGGCTAATAAACCAAAAGTGGAAAATACTATTCAGCTATTTAAAAACCGAGAGGAATTCATGGTTGATCAGAGAACACGAGAGATTTCAAAGTGGCAAATAATCAATTTTCACATGTTTGGGTATATAATAAGCCCAAAAGGCCAAGAACTTAATAGTTAGCAATGACCTCTTACCCACATCCCAACCAACTCCTTCCCAAGCCACTATTATTATTTGGACAGTCAAGCCACTACTGCTGGCATGCATTGGGCAAGAGAGGTCAAGGCAGATGCAAGACTTTCAATAAACCTCAAGCATCCAATGGAACGCATACATTGAAGTTTTTTTTTTTTTTTTTTTAATAAAACATAACCATTAAATGACCTTTTCCGATCCTCCATTAATATGCACTAAATACTTTTTAAAGGTGCAAGACCAAGTGTCATCCAAGAAATTATGCTGTGTAAAAAACATGATTCATCAATCTTATGACCAGTGGAAGTTCAATGATCTAGTTTCCATACCTCTCCAGGATGACGACTGTTCAAAGCATGAACATCCAACTTATAGTTGTGCTGTGGAATTATAAGAGATTCTTCTGATGAACGTGCTTGAATATTCTAGAAAATGATAAAAAGCCAAATCAGCGTAGAGAAGCAAAAGCACATGACAGCACTACCCTTTATGATAAAATGCGCATAGAATCATCAAGTAAAAGACAGCCAGGTATAAAACACAGTTGGGTCCGTTTGGAAAGCAGGAAAATGACTTCTGGAAAATGAGTCATTTTCCAGAAAACATTTTCCTTTCCAGTGTTTGGTTGCATTCTGAAAAACTGTCTTGGTGTGTTTGGTTCATTTTCTGGAAAATGAGTAGAATTGTATAATTAAACATTTTAATTATTCTATTTAGAATATTACAACATGTATAATAATATAATAAAAAATAACTAATAAGATATCAAAATAACTCACCAAAGTCTTGTAATTCAAAACAACAACAACAACAACAACAATAATAAGTGGTATAGTAGTGGTGGTATGGTGGTGGTGGTGGTGGTGTAGTGGTAGTGGTGTTATTTGTTATATAATAATAATAATAATATAATAATAATAATAATAATAACAACTGGTGGTGGTGTAGTGGCGGCGGTAGTGGTGTGGTCTGGTGGTGGTGGTGATGGTGGTAGTGAGGTGGTGGTGGTGGTATGGTGTTGATGGTGATGGTAGTGGTAGTGGTATGGTGGTCGTGGTGGCGGCGATGGCAGTGGTATGGTGGTCGTGGTGGCGGCAATGGCGGTGGTATGGTGGTCGTGGTGGCGGCGATGGCGGTGGTGTTGGTGGTAGTGTGGTCTTTTACTGGTGGTGGTGGTGGTGGTGGTATGGTGTGATGTTGGTGTAAAAGTTGGAAAATGACTTCCCCCCAAAAAAAGGGAAGTCATTTTCCTCCAAAACGCCTATTTTCCAAAGTCAACGGAAAATGATTTCCGTTGACTTGATTTTCCAGGCACATCCAAACACTGGAAACCCAAAAACCAGGTTTCCAAACACACCCTAAATTCATTCTTTCTTTTACAAAAATGGAGGAAGGAATTTAAAGACAGTTACAAAAATGTCAAGTAATTACGGACATAGAAGGCCATCCACAAGACGAAAAAGTTGTCTCAGGTAATTGCACAGATAAAATTTCCATAGGGATCATAAAAATACCAGAGTATTTTTAACTCTTTCTACAATATTTATACTAATCACCTATAAATAGAAGATATATATATATAGAGAGAGAGAGAGAGAGAGGTGGGGGGGGGGGGGGGGAGAGAAAAAGAAAACGCATACAAAGAATTAACAAGAGCCATTTTGTAATTTTCAAGAGAAGAAAAAGGTATAAACGGAGCAGAAATTTTGACCTCTGACTTTCTGCTCCATCGAATTTCCCCGGTTCGACCAGCAAATGCATAAAATACAAAATGGCGCAAATCAACCGTCCCAGAATTCTCTGAAGTCTAAAACAAGAGATATCATTATTAGAGCTACTAATATCTGATTTGTACTTATTCCTACATTACTTGGTCAAAGGTCTATTCAGTAGCTGCAGAAGGTGTCCCAGTCCGTGTCAATAATAAATGCAGGACAATATACAAGCTAACGAAAAGCAATATAGACATAATACAAATTACTAACAGTGAAGAAAATAAATACTCACTTGGTTCTCGGCAGCACTCCTCCGGTGCTGCTCTGCAGTTTTCTCTGCTATTTCAATTTCTTCAAAAGGATCCATATGGATCTGGAAACATGTACCAACTTATCCCTTAAGATATATTCAGTGCCAAGAAATGATATTCTGACAAAGTAGTTCGTAAAAACATAATAGCATGGTTACAAGAAAGGATAAACAATATTACAAGTCATTTAGTTTTTTTTTTTTAAAATGTCAATATTATAAAAAAGATGAGATTAATAGAAACAGGAAAAAATAACTCACTAAAATGGCAAAAAAACATTATGAAATTTTTATATTACTAAAGAATACAGACAAAAAACACATACATGAGGTTGCATTTCCATTCTTCCACCAACAATCACCAACCCAGAATCTCCATGCCTTACAGTATAATTACTAATTGAGATTCCAATTTCTCTATGATGAGCATTATGTGGAAAATCCTCCTATAAAGAACAAGGAGAAAAGAAGAGATAACATTGTCCTGAAGTTATGGGCAGATAAATAAATATAACAAAAACAATAATAATAATAATAATAATAATAATAATAATAATAACAATAATAATAATAATTTTCTTTACAGAACAAGTCAGTTGAAGTTATAATAGGGTTAAATATTTAAAGCAGTATAAATATAAAAATAAAAATAAAAATAAAACACCTGAAGGTTCGTCTCCCATAGCTTTTTGAGGTTGTGATCAAAACACATTACAGACCAACCGGAGGTAACAACAACTAGCACCTCTTTCCTAGGTTCTCTGGGGTTGTAATTCCTATCTATAACACCTGTGGCCATTGCCACAGGGCGTCTTCCTGTTGTGATGCGAACTTTATCAGGCAAAAGGGACACCTCTGCAAGCACACGTGCTTGGCTAAATCCTTCATCCACTCGCCTAGCATGTGGCTCCAAAACCTACAATCATAATCATAAGTATGATAAGAACAAAAAACACAGAAAAATTTACAATACAAAGGGATCACACCTTTTATAATATTCCTTACACAAGAATAGCTTCTCCAGCTCAATTAAAATAATGTTAAATCAAGGAAAATAACAATGTACCACAAAGCCGAACTGAAATCAGTTTTATTGTTCAGGAAAAAAAAAAACAAAAAAGGCAGCATATCGTAGTAAGTGAAATGAAGATTGATTTAGATTAATTACCTGGATTTTGGCATCGTGTGTAGCAACAAGGACCTCTTTTCTGCCATCACCATTGAGATCAGCGACTATTGGCGGAGGAAGACGCTCGGCCTCGTATTTGATCGGATATTCGTCGGAGAGATGAAACCACGCCTCCCTGAATGAAAAATCGCCTTCATGCTAAGGCCGCACGGAACCAAAATAAAAAATAAAAAAAAGTCAGATTACATGAATTCCCAAATAATTGATTAATTATATACATGAAATCGAAACGAAATGAGACAAAGACCGGAATTGGAGGTCGGTGCTAGCTAGGGTTTATGAGGTTTTCCGAGAGTAGGGAAGTACCTGAAGAGAGAAGAAGATGGCGAAAGCAGAGAGCATAAGAATAGCTAGATCGCGCTTCCTCATCTTCAACTTCTTCGTTCACCCTAGTGTTAACTGTTCACAAGGTGAGCTTCGGTCGTCTTCGGCTTCAGGAGAAACCCAGAAACTGATGGGAGATCCCGGGTTGTAAGTTGTAACGCCTTAACCGCCCCGTGTCGTATACTCGTATATGGGTATCCTTTTTTTTTTCTTTTTTTTTTTTTTTTTAGTATAGTATCTGTTCCATATCTTTTATCTGTTTAAAGAATCAATATCCCATGAAAAAAATACGAACATAGATATACGCTGCTCTTCTTTTTCTTTTCTTTTTTGGTACAAATAAATGTTCAATATTAAAATTATAGTTATATTCAAAAATTAAATAATATATATATTTAAAAATTATAAAATTTATAATCATAGAATTCATAAAAAAAAATATAATAGATAATTTGAATAATAATTATTGTATAACTAATAATAGTTAAAGTAAAAGTAAGTAGTTTAGATATGGTAAATGATTGAATATAATTATAAAAACACTTAATATATACCAATGAAAGTTTAAGGGTGTATGGTTAATTTTATCGATAAAAATTATAGTACAATTAATTTTGTTCAATATATAAATTATATTACAGTATTTGTAATGCAATGTACAATTCAATATGAAAAAATACAAACATAAATTAAGGGTGATTCATTTCTATATATATATTTTTTAATTTGGATTTAGATAGATATAATAGAGCCTAAGGGAGGGTCTACGACTGGTAAAGGATAGGGGGTTCGGAAGATCATAATCGAGCTTGACTCTGAAGCTCTGGTGGCAGTCATGAACGAGGAAAACTCTAGCGATGAATGTACTTCATCCTTGCTAAAAAGATTGCAGGTTCCTGGTGACCTACATGGACAATGTGATATTTACCCACACCTTACGGGAGGGTAACAAATGTGCTGATCATTTGGCGAACTTGGGACAGGACGCGTCTTGGGGGACCACCCGCTTGGAGCATCCACCGTTAAGCCTTCAACCTTTACTTGCGGCCGACGCGTTCGGCGCTAGTGAGATTAGAGTTTGGTAACCCTTAGTTTTCTCTCGTCTTCACGGGTCTCAATCCACCAAAAAAAAAGATAGATATAATAGAGTTTTAGATTAGATTTTCCCACAAAAAAAAAAAAAAAATATTAGATTAGATTTAATATGAAAAAATTGGTGTATATCGTTATTATTGTTATTATGAAAATGAAAATTCATTTAATTATGATATAACTTCTTCTCGGTATAGCTTTTGTCATATTTTACATTTCGTAAATATGAGTTAGCGATTTGGTTCCGTTGCCGGGAAATATAATATTTTGACCCAACTTTATAATATTTTAATTCCTCCAACAACAATCTATTACTAAGTAATGATATATCAGCTAAATTAGGTAATGACATTGGTAGGAAGTAAATTATTATAAACTTGTAACAATTTCTCTATTTTCATCAAAGCATAATTTTTCTTCGATTCTTCAGTCAAAATCAAGTATGTAATAATTAATATTAATGTGAGACAAATTAACTTAAACTATATATGTTGCTTAACCTCAAGTTTTGAGTACTTTTTTCATTGCACCAGTGGGGAAAGCATAGAAAATGCCCTTCGGGCATGTTGCAAAGGAACCCAAATTGGAAAAATTCTAATTGAGTTAATACCCAAAATCGTCCTCGACTATAGTGGTTTTTCTCAATTTCGTCATAAACGACTTCGGTGACCTAATATCGTCCCAGACTTTTGTGTTTCGCTCAATTTAGTCCCAGATTTTTGTGTTTTTGCTCAATTTAGTCCCTCATTTGTTATTCTGTCCATTTGGTGTTAAATAAATAGACAATTCAGTAATTTTAATATTGGCATCTCTTTACTCATAGACATGTGAACAGCGAAATCCCTTTTTGTTTTACGAATTATTCCAGAATTACTCCTAAAACTGCGAATATAAAATTTGATTTGCAGGTCCGAGAGTAAATCTAGGTGTAATTCGTACAAGAAAGAGGAATTTCGCACTTCACAAGTTGAAAGTAAAGAGAGATCAATATTGACATTACTGAATTGTCCCTTAATTTAACACAAATTTGACGGAATAACAAATGGAGGACTAAATTGAACGAAATACAAAAGTCTGGGACGATATTAGGTCACCAAAGTCGTTTATGACGAAATTGAGAAAAACCACTATAGTCAAGGACGATTTTGGGTATTATTCTAGGAGAGGGTAAAAGTGGCCGGCAGGTCTGTAAATCAAACAATTCTTCACTTTTAAATTTTCCATAAAAATAGACCATTTTTCAATCTGCCCCATGTTCCTGTCTTCCTGATATTGCTGCAGTTGATTTATGAGAAGCTACCATCCGACATTGCAAGCCGCCATGTTCTACTGCTTGATCCGGTTCTTGCTTCAGGTGTGTGATGAACCAAGCAATCTCAGCATGAGTTATCACCCTTTCTAACTCTACCATGACTCTCATACATACTCATCTACCATACTGCCAGGAAATTCTGCAGTGAAAGCTATATCTGTGTTGCTCAGCAAGGGAGTAGCAGAGCCCAACATCATTTTCTTAAACCTAATATCAGTAAGTGCACAATATGAATCCATTTTCTTTTTAAAGTGACGAGTAAAACCGCAGTCACTATCTAATGGTATATATGCACCGAGTAAATCATGTCTGGTGAAGGACCACTAGGAGTAGTCTATAGTTGACTAAGCTCAAACTAAGAAGGTGAATAGACCGCTTTTAGGAGACTCGAACTAAGAAGGTCAATAGACTGCTTTTAGGAGACTCGATCTTGTAACTTTGTGGTTATTAAGTCAACAACATGATCAACATGGCTGGATTGTCCCAATATGAATCCATTGTTTTTTATCTGTATGTTATGCACTGAGTAAATCATGTCTGGCGAAGAATCATTAGGAGTAACCCATAGCTGACTAAGCTCAAACTAAGAAGCTTAATAAGCCACTCTCGGAGAGACTCGTTCTTATAACTTTGAAGTTACTAAATCAACAATCTCATCAATTTCTTTGAGATGCCCCCGATATGAATCCATTCTTTTACTTTCATGCACTAAACCCCTATTGAAACTAATTAAAGCAACTAATCAACCACTAAGATCCACTAAGATTATCCAACGTTTTCGTTTTCCTTTCATCCGAGTAAAATAAAGAAATTCAAAATAAACAAAAGAGCATACGTTTCCAAACATTTTATCAGCAAATCAAATCATACCAACAACAAATCACTGATTAATTCTCATGAGTAAACATTCATACATTATTGTTTCTAATAAATTGCCACCAGTAACAATCTAACTATTTGATTGGGTGTCTCTTCGAAGCACATTTGTAAGTCTTCATCACATAATCCTTATAGAAGAACTTAAGGAGCATATCTTCTAACTGCGGCATTCTTCTCAAGACTTCAGCTTTGACTTCAGCTTTCAATTTCTCAAGGTCTGGAAGAGCTAGATTGACCTTCAAAAAAATTTGACCCATATGTTGGACTTCAATAATCGTGTTGATCGGACCCGATTCATCAACAATGGAGGCCGGAATCATAGAAGGTTCGACTTTGATAACCCTGTCGGAGGCCGGAATCATAGAAGGTTCGACTTTGATAACCCTGTTGGAGGCCGGAATCATAGAAGGTTCAACTTTGATAACCCTGTTAGAGGCCGGAATCATAGAAGGTAATTAACAGGAATTTGCGAAAAAGCAAAATAATTTTTTTTAAAAAATAAACCTATTCTGCCATATCATTCAATTTTCTATTCTGCAAATAACATTTCCAGAAGCAAGCCATTCCAAGGGGCAAGGGGGGCTCATAATTCAGTTATAGTCATGAGGATTTTAATTCGTTAATTTACACTCCTCTAAGATGCAAACAAAAACATGAAAGGCAGAATGCTGTCAAGCCTGCAAGCAAATCCATCACCGTATAACTATATCATATACATTCATCAGTAATCAGAAAGTAGCTTCATTTAACATTTTGCACTTCACTCATAGCCTTTAACTTCTTCCGTGTTTCCAGGCGTGAAGAAATAACAGCACATTTCTTTTTAGTTTCCTCCAGCTCTGTCTCCATTTCCCCGATCTATTACATCCTCGCAGCATAAGATGAACTTAGAAAGTATTCTTCGAGTAATTAAATCACAGATTGAAACACAAAACCAAGGATGAGAGGGTAAGGTTACTTACCATTTTCTTCAATTCATTTTCCTTCTGTATATACTCCTCGCATCTGTAGAATTAAACTCCGTTATAGTGACCTCGTGTAAAAAAATGATGGCTTAACAGTTCAGAAATAAAGCATAAGATGCAATATTTACTTCATAAAGAGCTGGATGTTCTCTTCGGATATCTGATCGATCGATCTTTCATCCACAAGACTGGTGACTGGCTGACGTTCAGCAGTTGGCAACGGCATTTGTGTATTGACAACTTTAACTTGTGGTTGGGCAGTAGCTTCTCCCGGCACACTTCTACCTGGGGGTCTGTGTCCTACCAGGTGACAACAAACTTTCCTGCATCAGGAAGTCCAAGTGCAAGAGGTTAAGACTGAACTTATGTTGAAGAGACATGGATTCTTGTGTTTAATTGAGTGTTATACACAAGCACAAAAATACGCACCAGTATTCCATTATCATTTGCTTTAGCCTCATCTCCAATCTGTAAAAACTCGTAGATCTCTCAAAATCCTGTTTGTCATGTGCAGGTTCTATAAAATTTGCTTCCAACACTCCTGAAGATTTTGTAAATAAGTAGATAACCACAGAATAAGGAGAAATCATTAACAGTACGGTGTAGGCAATAGGGGAAGATAATTCATTGGCATACCAACAACACCATTTCCTCTTGAAGAACCATCTGCAGTGACTTTCCAATACGGCTGAAATCCAGAATATATTGATTAAATCAATACTTAGATCCATGAAGTGTAACTACATCTGACCAATTTCTATTCTTTCAAAAGAAGATTTTTCTATTGAAAACTGCAAACATACCCTGATTAGACGATTTTTGTGATAGATATTGAATCCAGAAACTCCAAGGGCCGGTGCTTCTTGAATGAAGCCAATCGTTGTTTCCACAGTGATCTACCAGGGAAGTAAAGAGCATTTAAAGCCAATAATTCTTACTACTCTGATCAGTGTTAGCAAGATCTATTAATTGGCTGGGTTAACAACTCATATAATAGTAAAATTTAAGTGTCATAATTACTCACTATCATAGAATATACATGCTTCAAATTTGTAAAACCACACAACAATATAGCTATCTAACGGATGATATACCTCTTTCCCAATAAGCTGTGGCTTGTAGGATATTGTTTTTGAGTATTTCAAATCATCACCAATGTTATACTGCTCCACAGGCTTGCCTCTTAATAAGATGCTAAAATTTTTAAATTTTCTGAGGTATAATATTGATGCGTATGCCTGAGAAGAACCAAGTTATAATCATTGAAATACACTAGGCAAGCACTATTTAGTACTCCGTAATGTATAGTTGACACAAATTTAACTGGTTACCCTCAATGAATAGCGCATGCGGTAGGAAATATGGGATTGCAATTCAGCTACTTTCTTGAATGTTTTAGAGGCACTTCCATGATTAGCTTCATCTCTCAACTTTATATCCTATGTTTCCGAGTAAAGAAAAATTTATTTGTAAGCAAACACCATGAAGAAAATGAAACAAAAAGAAGAAATGCCACATTATATATTATGAATAATAGAAAGCTAGAAACAAGACATTTAACACCGGAAATTTTCCAACAGAAAAAGGAAAGGTGAATTTAAAACGAAATGAACTACCAAAGACATTATAAAAAAAAAAAAGGTGGAGAGACAAATATGTTCATTGTTTTAGCATATCTTACAACTGCAATGGTATTTAGAACAATTTAAGAAATAAATATCTAACATCTGTTCACAAATGTAAGACACATCCAACTTATTGAATTTTGAAGGGATTTTCTAAGTTCACTTTGGTAACCCTAATCTAACTTCAACAGCCATTTCCAATGTACAAAAAATGTATTTCATTCCTCTGGAAAGGATTATTACATTTATCAAACCTTAAAAGCATCAAATTATGAATATAATATTCCAAATCCATCAAGAAAAAGAAGTAGATAATGAAGGTAAGGGTTTTCATAGTCTACCACAGCAATACGCTTGATAACTAAGGACAAAAAGTAAAAACAACCAAAATTCTTACTTCTCGATTTGTCATTAAGGATACATGTTATGTGAATAACAAAGGTAAAGCCAACTATTATACAGAAAAGGAAATACCTCATCATCATCATCAAAACTCAATTCATAAATGCCTTCATCATTCAGCCATAGATTGAATATTATAACCTTTGTTCCATGAGAGCCAATATCTTCGAACTGTTATAGATGGAGAAAATAACCAGAAACAGTAAATTTCAAACAAAAAAAAACACAAATAGAAAGTCCAAAATAATGCAGCCGCTTTGAACAGTTACTCTTAATTAGTAGATAGTGCCCCAAGTATGTGCCAATTTGTTGGACTGAAAATATTTTTGTTTTGGAATTTGGATACAAGGGAAAAGCAACAGCAATGAAGAACAGCCACATAAAGGAGTAGCCAGCCTGACTAAACTTATTTTACGGGGTACTTAACCAAGTAAAATTGTTTCTGTTTCATTTCAAGAAAAGTACCAATCAACAAAAATTGCATAGAACCACTGTTCAAAAAGCACCTCATATTTCACAATGTTAAAGCAAGTAATAAATATTTCCTATTATCAAACAAACCTGTTGCATGAGGTCTTCCTTTGATGCAAATGGAGACCATTCAATGATGGTTTTCAAGTTAGTAGACCAATCATCCTGGGATGTATTAATAATTGGCTCTGCCCAATGACTGGAGATATCAAAATCAATCTGAAATAGAATTTCAATTAGAATGAGAAATGAGATTTGGTATACTTCATAGGGATATGCAAAATTTCAGCACTCTCATTCTGTTATGCACCCACACAACTAAACATCATTTTTGAAGACTTTAACAAGGTAAAATGACAGGATTTACCATTGGAACAATGACATCGTCCTGTCCAGTTCTGCGCAGAAACGTGTAGGATAGAAGACCAATGCTTTGGGTTGCTTGGCTAAAGGGAAAATGTTTGCAAATAATGTCAAATATACACAAAATTTAAGAATCACAATTTTCATGCACAAAATTAAGCTTCATATAAAGAAGTATCAGTCAAAATTATTCATTAGGCATTAACAAGTAATTAGAAATACTTAAAATATTCAGTCTGGCCCTTTTTCAAGTAATTTAAGTTAAATGAAGGTTTCAACTATTGAAATTTCAAGTGCATACTACTATGTTTCACGAGGAAAGAAGTCAGACAAGACATCATCTTTCTCTTTCATGACGCTCATAAAGTCATCTCCCATCCCTCAAGGATACAATATACAAATACAGATTTAGGTGAAGTGTAAATGACAGTTTGGAGAGCACTGGCGCCAGGTGTAATGTACATAGCAAAAAGTTTAACAGAACTTGCACGAGAAAGAAAAGTGAAGAGTGAGAAAAATACCCTGCTTTAGATGCCCGAGTAAAAACAATCACATCAGCACCTAATCGCATGGTACTTGTCTTGAATCCATTACCATCTAGGAAAGGGAGAGGTATAATAAATCAAAAAAATTTCTAGCCATAATAAGTTACTGCACTGAAACTAAAGAGTCTGATAATAATTAAGACCCTCCCCAGGTTGTAATTCCAAATACTCTATATTTGGTTACTTACATTGTCCAATTGTTGTGTTGGATGTCTTTGATGAGTAGCCCAAACTCATGCATTTTCGAAGACGTCCTGGATCCATCCCACCACCATCATCTGCATAGAGATTTAAAGAATTTGTCAGTGGCTACCAATCTGATTACTACAAGTTAGAAACTATGAAACAATGGGGAAAGTAACACACCATGAAACAGTAAGGCAGGAGAGTTATCCCTCATGTTATATATTCTATCAACCTTCACGAAAGTTGCACCATTGTTTATCTGTATAGAGCACAGACAACAAAGTGATACAAGTCTAAATGATATTAGAGGCCACAGCAGATCTACTGCACTGCATAAGTGCAAATATCAAAATAGCATTGCTAGTTCAATTACAACCAAGAAAATTGTGTAGTTTTCCTTAATCATTTCTAAGACTAGACATCGGTATGATAAGGGAAGTAGCACAACAGTGAATGCAAAACTAATAGGGGAAATACTTTGGCACATGAGCAAATTTTACAAAGCTAAGATCAAATCAAATACATCAAATACACAGATAAATGTTTTACTAACTGCAAGGTAATAAATAGTTTTCTCTTACACATAATTCTTAGAAAGACCTTACTATAGTATGCACATTAACTCTGTAATGTATTCACATGAACATTGATCACATCCCACAATTAGTGAAACCAAGTTTTGAGCAACCTTAATCCAATTTATCCATGGAATTAGCTTCAAAAGATAAAAAGAATCTTGTTTTAGAAAAAATAAAAAATAAAATAAATTGGCACACATCATGCTTCTAAATTTCAACGAATAATCACTGAGTCTAATTTAAGATTCTAAAGGCCGTCCTAAATACCAGAGAATAGTTGATTTGACAAACAGAATGAACAAAGAAAGACATTGACTTCGAAATTGATCAATAATATATAGATGCAAAGGGGGTAAAATTCAGGCAACTGTCAATTACAGAAGATCTAAACAATGACAACAAAAAACCAGGAAAAGAATTTCATTCTACTGTTTTATCCTTCAATTAGATCCCAATGTAAAATTGGACACTGCGAACTGTGAAAATGAGCACATAAATTTGTCAAGGATGTAGTGATTTCTAAAACAACTTTGAAGTATCCAAGTATGTGTTCTATACTTCTATCCTATCATTTGAAGTCCAATTAAATCACTAAGTAAATTCAATAGAATTGTTAATTGCAAACGTAGGCAGTTTGAAAGTTATGGCAGAAATCATGAAACCTTTGTGCCAACTAACTTTTTGCAAGTGAACACACAAAACACAAAGATGAGTGTATGAGATGGTGACTACCTCATCCACAGCATTATCCAATAGTTCAGCAATCGCTGCAATGACAACATGATTCAAATGTCAGTATGTGTAGATATTAATCTGCTAATGACTGTCCGAATTTAGACCAGACAACTCACCTCCAAATGCCCATTTGTGAGAAGTGGCATTAGAATGTAAAAACTTTGGATGTACACGTGCATGCTCTAGCTCACCTGCAATTTACCCAGCAGAGAATGGGTTATTCATAACAAATTTAAAAATATATATATAGTGGCATGTTTTCCTTTTTCTCTATGTTGCCTAGTAACAATATTATAGGACCTTAAGGCTACAAGCTCATAAGATTATAATGCTAAACTAATTTGGCTCATGCACCTGCGCATACATGTATCTATGTATTTTCGTGTATACCATACTAGAGGGTTTTCAGTTTTCTAAGTATTGACCTTTTAAAACACAAAATTGTTAGTGAGTTCTAAATTTGAAGGAAAATGCGATAAAGAAGGAAAAATCAACCTTCAATAGCTACTGCTCTAGTGGAGGCGACTTCATAATTCCCCGCCTTCCAGAAACTCCGAGACTCCAGTTGCCGATGATTCTGAGCAGGAGGAGCAACTGGTCCAGCGCCATGAACACCAGGTGGTTTGCTTTGTGGATTTTTGACAGTAGTCATTACATCCCGGGCGCTGCTTTTTCCGGCAGCATTGGTGCCGGGACTGCCTTCGTCGTCGCTGCTATCGATTTCAACAACATCAATGGGAACCTTGTTCCGTTTAGGTGCCATTGTAATAGAATCACATTTGACAGTGAGCCTGTTGTTAGGGTTTAGCTCCGAATAACGCTTTTCCTTTACCAAACTGGAGGTTTCTGGGATTAATGAGGAGAGGGAGTGTAATTTCCCTGCTAAGTATTTAAAATCACTTGTAAAACTCGAAATATTCTTCTTCTGGGTGTGGCGTATGCTGTGTTAATGGCGCTTTGATTCAAAGAGACCAAAACGTAATCGACTTTTTTTTTAGTAATAAATTCGGAGTAGTATACTATTAATTAATAATTCATCTCCTTTTTGTTATTTTTAACGACTTTTGTAATTTTAAAAATTAATCTTTTATATTTAATGGTATTTTTATTTAAAATCGAACTCGTACACGTACTCTGGAGTGTTTAATTTTGGTCGAGTGATATACCATAGTACCATTTAAGCTAGTTGCGGGGTGCAAAGTTGCATATTTATTCACCAATATCATTATCTTTTATATCATTGTTTAGTATTTTCCTATCAATTAAAATTTGGATAAATAAATTCATCTTATGAGAATAACTTTTCAAGAAAAAATTAATTAACAAGTTTGACGTTACCTTATTGATGTGGTAAAGACATTGTGGTATAGCACACAGTGTATGCCTAAGGGCTCGAGTAATTCAACAATAGGTCAGGCGTTCTCGAGCTGGTATGCATTATGAGTAAAGACCCAGAAGTTATTCATCAATACATTAAATGCGCCTTATATAACAGGTTGGAATTGGCACACGTTGGAAGCTCAGCATGTTAGCCATGTGTCCTGCCACGTGCAACGAGGTCGATGACGTATGTGTTATTAATGATATGATCAGACTAAGCTAATGGTGCTTGTTTGTAGTGCTAATGATGTCATTCCCGAGCATGCAAGGTCAATAATTTGATCCAAGGGCGCAGGACGTAAAGCATAAGGCAAACCATTCCTCGAATAAACTATCTTCTTATTGAATTCGGGTTAAAAAATATTCATTGTAGTAAGTTGCACTCAGAAAATGTACATCTCGACCCTAACGTATATATCGAGCAAGTCTGAAGGCATATGAGATTATGATATCCCCTATCACATATAAAATAACAATTAAATTATTTAGAAAATGAATTAAAATGTTTGATTTGTTTACGTTTTCTTATATTTTTTAAATTTATAATATATATTTGTTATATACAAACATTAAAAAGAATATAATGAATATTTTAGAGTTTAATAAATCACGTATAAATTAAATATAATATGTCAAATAATTCAGTTTGCAACAATAATATTTAAAATTTAAAATAGTACATATGTAAAAAAAAAAAAAAAAAAAGTGTTAAGAGAGGTAATCATTTGATAAATAGTGTTGTTATCCTATTTATTGAATACTATTAACTATATTATATTTTCAAATTGGGAGAATCATAATTATACCGTTCAATCATAACATTTTTAGTAATTAAACATTTCTTAAACAAGACTTACATTTTTTTTTTTATATCATAAAATTATATCCTTATTGGTATGAAATAATTTTTCCCCTTTTAAATTTGAAGAAAGTCTGAGCTATAATTTCAAAAATTGATAACTTTTTTTTTTTTGAAAATAAAAAATGATAAGTTAAACATTTTGTTTTTTCGATCGCTTGACTCTGTTACATTGTAATAACTGTTTAAACATACTTTTAAAGAGGTTACAGAATGCCAGCACAAGATACTTGGCAACTTAAAGGTTTTGTTTAGTTATTTTAAAAATGATAATTTATTTTAAAAATTGAATGGAGCAGTTGCTTAAGCGTCTAAGAAACTATCTCCTCATCCCAGCTTCCATACAGCTTTCTCTGATCAGATTGGCAGGAAGAAGGGTTCAGAGCATGGAGAACTGGAGAGCTACCACTCGCCTACTGAATTACTGCTCGAAGAAACTATTTGATCGTCGATCAAGCCCTAATTACCTCAATTCTACTCGCTGCCGAGCTTCAGGTACGGCTCCCATGAAATGCTTACTGGAAGACTGGAACAAAAGATAATCGCATGTATATGGTAGAAGCTTGTACTATTTTATCGTTGTTTGTTAAATCCGACAGCAGAGTCATTTATCTAATTATTATCACTGGAATAGTTATCATTTTACAGAGTTAATGCAGTAGATAACTGTAAATTTGTAGGGAGAGATTTTATTTACACATTAAAAATAAATAAATTATAGAGGCAGAGTTTAACGATGCGTCTGAGCGGAGAATTATTGATTACATTCTGCCTCTCCGGGCACTTGGTGATGAACTGACTCAGAAAGTAATAGTATGTGGAGACGAAGCTGTATTTTGTTAGCAAATTTCTTTGTTGGAAACAAGAGGCAATCACTTTGCTGTTTTGTTTAACCCAAAATATTTAATGGAAAAGATGCTTTTATTCCATCAGTTGTAGTTATGGTATAGAACTATAGATTTAGTCCATATGGTATTTGCAGTACAGATTTAGTCCTAAGTTCTTAGTAAAATGGAAATTTTGGTCCTTAAAGTTTTAACAAAACCCTAATTTCAAGGACCAAAAGCTACTTCAGTAAGATTGTAAGAACTTAAGGATTAAATCTACACCACAAATAATTGAAGGACTACATTTTCACAACAGCCACAATTGAGAGACTAAAAATGTACCATTTTACCGAATAGGAATATTTAGATACAATTTACCTCATATGTTGCTTAATGCCTTAACTATATCCTTTCTTTGCTGGGTTACAGGTTGCATATATCATTTTGACAAAACATGTAGATCACTAAATCCTTATGTTGCGAATTACCAAGAAAACATTCATACACTTTGTCATTCAGTATCTTCCCTTAGTACAAACTGTTGGAACAGTGGGAGTGCCCACTCTAGACGTTTTTCTTCAGAGTCCACTGTGATCCAGAGGAACCCAAAATTTTCAACAATCAACCCAGATGATATTAGCTATTTCAAGAAGATATTAGGTGAAAGAGGTGTGGTTGAAGATGAGGACACTCTTAATGCTGTAAACATGGACTGGATGCGAAAATACAAGGGTGCAAGTAAGCTTATGCTCCAACCTAGAAGTACAGAGGAGGTTGACTTTCTTTCACTAAGCTTTAGTTACTTCCTGAATGGCAGATATCTACATTTCTAGCTTTATTACTTGTCATGGACATGTACAGGTATCTCAGATTCTTAAACATTGCAATTCCAGATGCCTTGCTGTTGTTCCTCAAGGTGGAAATACAGGTCTTGTGGGAGGGAGTGTTCCTGTTTTTGATGAGGTAAGAATCTTTTTTGCTTTCTGTAAAATAACTCTTGAGAGTGCACCCATGTGAATGGACGTAGGAGCATCCATGCTGGATTAGCAAATTATAATTTCACATAAAGGTCTATTTGCGAATGGGCATTAGTTATTATGAGGCAATATGATGATGGCTTGCTAAATTATACTCCCTCATATCTTTGTCCGATTTTCTCTCACTTAATTAAACCTGAAATATGCTATAATTAAAATATTAAAAGAAGTGTCATTTATAATTTAATTTAAAAAAACAAAAAACATTTCTAGTTGGAATATTTTATTTTTCTTGAAAAATCCTAACTTTTTAATGTTGAAAACCTTACAGGTGATTATCAATCTTGGTTCAATGAATAAAATAATTTCATTTGACAAGGTAAACCAAAATTTTCATTCACTACTTTCCCTCTTTCTTGTCATTGATAGTTTGATACGTTAAGAAAGGACCAGTTTCTTCTGGGATGGTCATGATTTTGTGTAATTAACGTCTCCACCTTCTACATATTTGGTTGTCTTTTTCCTACTAGTGAAGGACCTGATTACTACTAGTGACCTTTGCAGGTTAGTGGTATACTGGTATGTGAAGCAGGCTGCATTTTGGAAAACCTGATTTCTTTCCTGGATAACCAAAGGTAATTTACTCTAACAGGGCTTAAGATTGATAGCTTATGGAATTCTAGTGTGTGTTGTTTTTCTATCATCCTACTTATACAACTAATGTGTCTGTTGTCCAGTTGTCCATCCCCTACCTCTTTGAATAAACCTCTTGGTGTGCTCCAACACCGTTACTCTGCTTTCCAGATTATGATAAGTTGAATTTTGTGATTATTACACAAATCAATTCATCTTAGGAACAGTATGACCTCTATGAGAAAATACCTTGCCAAGCACTCTAAAGATTTTATTATGCAGAACATAGCTTAAGTGCTTATGTTCCTTACCATTGTACTAGTTTGTTGGATTTAATATTCCATAGTCCATAGCCTGTCCTTAAGTTCGTCTTCTTATATAGCAGAAGGTTTTACAGTTTGTTTTATGGTGTTGGATGAGATCTTGTTTAATTACTTTTCATCTTGGTACAAATGTGAATGTGAGCTCTGTCATCTGCTAGGTTTATTATGCCACTAGATCTAGGGGCTAAAGGAAGCTGTCAAATTGGTGGAAATGTCTCGACTAATGCTGGTGGATTGCGACTTCTCCGATATGGTTCACTCCATGGGAATGTTCTTGGTGAGTTCCAGGCCTATTTTGATGTGCTCAGTGCCTCAGTTAAGTGAACTTACACATTAAAGTTATAGCCTTGAATGTTACATACATATTAGTCTCTCATGTAAACAGTTTATGCAAGATGTGATTCTACAAGCCGGTGCATAGATTAATCTTGTCTTTCCACATGTTTAAATTACTTCATCTTTATTTAATCTTCAGGTGTTGAAGCTGTTTTAGCAAATGGCACTGTGCTTGACATGCTTGGGACTTTACGAAAAGATAATACTGGATATGACTTGAAGCATTTATTTATAGGTGAACAGACTTAAATGTTATATCCTCTTTCATTTCAAGGTTTTGTTTATGCTCTAAAATGTAATGTTTTATTCTTGCATGTGGTTTAGGAAGCGAAGGATCCCTTGGGATCATAACAAAGGTTTCCATACTTACTCCTCCGAAGTTGTCTTCAGTAAATTTATGTTTTCTTGCTTGCAACGATTATGCTAGCTGCCAGGTAATAAGAGATATCTATCTGAAATTCAATTCACTAAGTAATTTAAAATTTATATATCATTTTCTTTTTTGTGTTTGGATCTGTTTGATATCACTTTCAAGAGATGATTGCCCTTTGTTGATATGTCATACTTTAACTGTTTGGTTGAACTGTAAGCATGGATTCCATATGACTATCCTGCAACAACATTCATTCTCAA